GATGTTGTAACATCTCAGGTTCTAGTCGAAACTCAACCCAAAGAGCCCGGATCTGTAAAACTGACCTAGAATGGCCTTTTATACTACTATGGAATGAGGTCCCCAAGACGATTATGAGGATGGTCTTTTGGGGCCCAGTTTCAATGGCAGTGTATATGGACCCTCTGAGTAATCCAACCCTCTTCGAACCCGATACGAAACCTTTAGAAAGCCTATACCCTAAACCCTAGCCCATTACCTGAAATAACTATTGTATAGTCCTTATATATCTCTTATCTAGCCAGGTAGTCTCCATATTGACCCCAATAACCTACAAGGGCCCCAGGGTCCCTATCAAGGGTCCCTCCTAAAGCCCTTAGATGCTCAGGCCGTAAGGTAAAGCCCCGCAAGGGACCCTAAGCCTCTCACACCCGAAACCCGTTCGGGAATGGGATTAGGGTTTAGGGTTTAGGGTTTAGGGTTTAGGGGGAGATTGAAATGGCTCCACATGGGAGTTGCAGAAAAGGATATAAACCGAAACAGTCGGATCTTTGTTACCAGGATCCTCAGCTGAGGTACCTCTAATTCTACGCCAACCCCACACGATAGAACAAAGTGTAAAACAATTGCATCATCTGTATACTTATATACTAACATACAAATATACATATATTTTATTTGTGTATGGTATATAGCATTTTTCTTAAGCAGCACATCCGTGTCGCCAGCATAGCTACCGCCCCGTACCCGTCCGTACACGCAGCACGTCTTCTTTTCCCACCACAGAAGGCTTAGCCTTTTCAGGGCCTTCGATGGGTCCCACTAAGCTGTCTGCTTTCTTTCTGATCTCTGGAGTTCAGGGCAGGGGTTGAAGCTTCAGGACTTGCGGAGGCTTGGAGGTGGTTTAGGGTTCAGGGTTTAGGGTTTTGGGGGTTTGGGGTGTAGGGTTTAGGGTTTAGGAGTGGTGGTTTAAGCTCGACATCTGGGCATGCCGCGGTTTAAGTGAGATTGAAAGGATGCGCATTTCTACACTCGTACGGAGTTTCAGAATGTGCCCAGGAGTGTTCGAAGTGCCTAGAGTCCCAAGAAGCCAGCCCACGCCCTAGACCCTCAACCGTAAGACCTGCTACTGATGATGATGGTGATGATGATGATGATGATGGTGGTGGTGGTGGTGGTGGCGATGACCCGGTTGTCGAACTTTGGATACGAACCAGAATGACTTTATTTGGTGTGTTATCGAATTTAAGAGGGCCTTACAGGGTTTCATATAGGGAGCTGGATAATTAGAACCGGGCTTTGGGTGTATACTATGCTGTAGTTCTATAGGGATGATAAAAGCACCTGACTTTATTCTAAGTAACACTTCCTCCGACCCAAAGATTCGGGCTATAGGGGATTAGGTTTGGGATGATTCAGGATTTAGGGTTTAGGGTCTGGGATGGTTTAGGGCTTGGGACTGAGTGCTTTCAAAGATCAGGGCTGATAGCTCTAGGTTTTGGAGGTTGGGTTGGCCAGAACACCCCAAAAACAAAATGTGTGTGTGTGTGTGTATATGTATATATATATATATATATAATTGTAACTATTCAACTACATAGTCGAGCCCTTAGAAGCCCGAACAGAAGGGTAAACAAAGGCTACAATACAGGGCAGTTGCCGCGTCTAGGTAGCCAGAGAATCTAAAGCACCACTTAACCAATAGTCAAAATGCCTCATTTGAATAGTGCTGTGCATAAACTTTCCATGGAACATAGGGAAATCTTATTTTGGTGTTCTAGGGTTTAGGGTTTAGGGTTTAGGGTTTAGGGTTTAGGGTTTAGGGTTTAGGGTTTAGGGTTTAGGGTTTATGGGGGTTTTGATCTTGGGGGCTTGCAGACGAGATGGGTTGTCACCGATCGAACTCGGCATTGGCGCTCGATGGCATGCTCTTGTAAAAGGGCCTGTGACTGCATCCTTGCTACCCTTTAGGGATTTAGGGTTTAGGGTTTAGGGTTTAGGATTTAGGCTAGAACCGTAAACACCACAAACCCTCAGTACCTACCGCCAGACCCCAAAGCCCTAAAACCTAAACCCTAAGCCTCAAAGTCCAAAGCCTCAAAGCCCTAAACCCCAAAGCCCTTAACCTCCAAACACTAAACCCTAAACCTAAAGCCCTAAAGCCCTACACCCTAAACCCCTAAACCCCTAAACCCCTAAAGCCCTAAAGCCCTAAACCCTAAACACTAAAGCCCTAAACCCGACGTAAACCCTAAAGCCCTAAAGCCCCTAAAGCCCCAAAGCCCTACAACCCAAAATCCCTAAACCCCAAACCCAAAACGAAAGCAGTTGCTGCCTTTTGCTTCGCCAGGGTGGGTGGGCTCGGGGGTTTCCTTCCTACGGACTGTTGCAAGGTTTTAAGGGGCTTGGGCTTTAGGATTTAGGGCTTAGGGTTTTTAGGTTTAGGATTTAGGGCTTAGGGTTTCAGGTTTAGGATTTAGGGTTTAGGGCTTAGGGTTTAAGGTTTAGCATTTAGGGTTTAGGGTTTAGGGCTTAGGGTTTAAGGTTTAGGATTTAGGGTTTAGGGTTTTAGGGTTTAAGGTCTAGGGTTTAGGCTTTACGAGTTTATGGTGTAGGGTTTAAGGTCTAGGGTTTAGGCTTTACGAGTTTATGGTGTAGGGTTTAGGGTTTAAGCGGCTCTGTGTTCATGGAGTTGAGGCTTGGGGCTTAGGATATAGAGGGCTTAGGGTTTAGGGTTTAGGATTCTTGAGCGGTAACTGGCGGGGTTTGTAGAGCCCAGTCGATTGGAAGAATTCCACAATAAACTTGCCTAAACTTGCTGCCCGGCATCACAAGAACCCTCCTGCCATCAAGTTGCACTATTTCGGCTTGGTGCTGACTGCGTGGCCAGCGAAATCCGCGCTTCAGAAAGTATGAGACCCTTAATGTAAGCCCCCAACTATGAGATAACCCCTAAACCCTAAACCCTAAACCGTGTAACTGGAGCAATCACAGCCAGGCATGCTCAAGATCTCTTGCATTTGCCCTTTTTGCCCCAGAAGGAGCCCTGGGATGGCACACGAACCTGTAGGTCCAAAAACATGTACAAACCTAAATGGGAGTTTCGGAAATGAAGGGGTACCGTATTTTGGGGTCCTCATAATAAGGATCCTACTATTTAGGGTACTATATTGGGGTCCCCTATTTTCGGAAACCCCTAAATAACAACAGGAACAGCTTCACACCCCAAAAACACTCCCCAGAGCGACCAGTTTAGAAATCCCAAACCCCTGGACCCCAAAAGCGTGAACCCCTAAGCCTAAACCCTAGATATGAAGCAGCATCACGGGTTGAGGGCCAAGGCTTAGGGAAACCCTAAACCCTAAACCCTAAACCCTAAACCCTAAACCCTAAACCTTCACCGTTACTCTTTTCGGGTCTTCAGTAGGTCTTCAACTCGGAAACCTTATCCTTTCGAGGCTCCAGCCCTGCTGCACACCTTAGGGCTGTGTGTTTTGCGCTCCCCAAACCGTAAGCTTACAAGGATTTGCGTTTAGGGCTTAGGGGCTTATGGGGTTTAGGGTTTAGGGTTTACGGGGTTTAGCGTTTAAGTTTGGGGTTTAGGGGTTTGGCGTTTAGGGGCTTAGGGTTTAGGGGTTGAGGGTTGACGGTTTTTTTAAGGTGCGATGGAATGGACGGGGTTCAGGGTTTAGGGGGCTAGGGTTTAGGGGTTTAGGGTCTAGGGTTTGGTGGGTTTTTCCGATTTCGGGCCAAAGCCTCGAAGGGTCCGTGAGAACCCATAAACCCTACATAAAAGGATCATGGGAGTTAGTCACTAGGGTTATAAATCAGGAAGCTATACTTATAATTTAGTAGGACCCGAATTGAGGTATATACTTATATCCTTACTCACTAAATCCCATGATCCCCCCAATCCTAAACCCTAAACCCTAAACCCTAAACCCTAAACCCGAAACCCTCCAAACCCGAAACCTCCAAACCCTAAGCCCATCCCAAGCTGCTCTGGAAGCTTCTACCAAAACGTGCGGCTGCCGTCGCAGCGCAAAGCTAGGCTGAAGCTCTTCCCCAGAGCACCCACCGACATGTTTACGGTTGACGGTTTAGCGTTTAGGGAGTAGGATTTAGGGTTTACGGTTTGGGGTTTAGGGATTAGGGTTTAGGGTTTAGGGTACCCTCAACCCTGGGATTGCGAACTACACCGGCCATCACTGACCCACATTACTATGAATAAGCTATGCCTATTTCCGCTTGATGCCAGTACTCCTCATCGTCGATCTTTCAAGAAGCATGAGTCTCTTTCTAAATCCTACACCCTCAACCCTACCCACACCCGCAAACACCCTAAACCCAAACGGTTTAGGGTTTGGGGTTGAGGATGTAGGGTTTGGGTCTGGGTTTTTTGGCTTCGGTTTTTGGGGTTCTCACGAAACCCTGGACCAAACCTAGCTTAGGAGCAGTGCGTCCAGCTCTCAGCTCTCAATCTTGAACACATCCTAGTGAATAAACCCCCAACCTCAAACCCCGAACCCCAAAACCTTAACCCTTAAACCCTGCACCCTATAAATCCTAGACCCTGAACCCCAAAACCTGAACCCCTAAACCCTACACCCTGTAAATCCTAGACCCCAAACGCTGAGTCGTTCCTGCAAGATTCTTTCTGATTAGGCTAGGGGTTCAGAATTTAGGGTTCGGGTTTAGGGTTTAGGGGTAAGGGTTAGGGTTTAGGATCTAAGGTTTAGGGTGGTTTAGGGTTTATGCTTTAAAGTTTAGGGTTTAGGGTTATTATCGGCTTTGACAATTGCGACTTGAGCGTTTTTAGATTGGCTTCGAGTGAGTTTACTCTTAACGGCTGCAGCTGTGAGTCCTGAGACTTTGGTTCAACGCATAGTTTCGGTTCCTGCAAACCCTAAACCCCAAAAAAACAACAGCGCACGGCGATGACTACCCTCCTCGTGATCCGAAATGCCCTGTACTGTTGCCGTGGTGCTGTGGCTGGCTTCAGAAATTCATTTACCCAATTCTCATTCGTCCGCGCTGGTTGGTACCTTCGGGCAGGAGGCAAGCTCTAAGCCCTCGGCTAGACTCCTGGGTAAGGAAATACTGGCCTTGCTTGACCGTAGGAATAGGATTCCAATAAGAGGGCGGATATATCAACCAAAGATCTGATACTATACTTTACCATACTCTACTACACGATACTATATTCGACTAGGCTAGACAATAAAATACTCTACTCTGCTGCATGAACTTTCTGCTACGAAAATACTCTAGACCCTCAACCCTAAACCCTCAACCCTAAACCCTAAACCCTAAACCCTAAACCCTAAACCCTAAACCCTAATATATTGTATTGGATCGGAGCCCCTGAGACGGCCAGGATGCTGAATACCGGTCTTTCAGGATCCTGTTTTGGGGTTTAGGGTTTAGGGTTTAGGGTTGAGGGTCTAGGGTTTAGGGTTTAGGGTTTAGGGTTTAGGGTTTAGGGTTTAGGGGTTTAGGGTTTAGATCGGAAGA